AATAAATTGTTTTTAATTTGTACATCGGATAATATTACGACATTATTACGACATATATAGACAGTAGTAGATGAGCATATGCATAATATAGACAAACATATCAATATATCACACATAGGTGTTTGCAATATTTAGGTATACCTATAATAACAATACCTATATAATAATTAAAATATTGGATTTATTATACTTACTCTTTTATTTTAGGTAGATTGATTGTTATGATATGTATATACGTTGTCTTCTATTATCAGTTTCTAATTATCACCCTTTATTATCTACATTGGGTACTCGGAACTTTAAAAAGAAAAATAATGAACTTATCAACATTATATCTATGACCTAGTTGTAACATATATGAGTGAGTTTGAGTCATAATTATCATTTCGTTGAAAATTTAAAATGTATTACGTAGTTTTGTGTAAACATAAATGAACGTAAAAATAAAAATACATATATTTTTTTATTAAATTAGAGAAAAATATTTACAATATGTACTTTATTTATATGTATAATTAAAGTAAAAATATATAAATAACAGAAACGCAACTAAAAATTAGAGGACCGTGGTTTATACAATTTATATATTTATTGTGTTGGGTACATATTAATTGTTAATTATTATTTTTTAAATTATTATTATTATTAATGAATGCAATTTACGACTTGATATAAATACTAAAATATAATTTAATAAGTATTAGTTAAGACGTAAATTATTCACAAAAGTTGACTTACTTAGTTACATAGGTATTAGGTAGTTGGTGTTTACAGTCTATTGATAGAGTAAATATTTAATATCACTTCATGGGCTAAATATTTTCATGAATAATAATTTTGATGCAAAGACATCTTTTTTTATGGTGTTTCAAAACGTTGATTCATAAGAATAAAGTGTGTTTTGGGTGATACTGATTATTTTAAAGTATTTTTTTTTATCTTTTTGTGTTTTTTTAACTAAATCAACCTCAAATACATTTATAGGATATTTTTTTTTTTGACAATTCTAGTGCATTTCTTTAGTTTTTATGACATTTTTCAAGATTTGTTCATGAAATGAATGAAAATAGTTGCAATTAACAAGAGACTTTCGATAAACTGCCAGCGTTACGAATAATAAGTTATATAACACGACAAGTTATTGTCGATAACAAATATCTTATCATAGATAGGCCTTTCCGTTAATGATTATGAAAAAAAGAAGATTATTCAACTAAACTGGTTGTTACTAGTCTTAAACATAAAATACTATTTAAAAAAAAAATACACTACCGTAGTATCATTTTTAAATTTTTTTCCAATTCTAAAGCTATTATAATGAATAAATTTAAATGCATTTTTATAGTACATTTTTTGAGTTTTTTAACTCATTTTTTCATCTTTTTAAGGGTATTTTTTAAGATTTTTCAGGACATTAAAATTCCACCCTAGTAACAAGTATACATTATTACTTTTATTTTTAAATAAAAAATCATAGATATAAATACAAATATACAAAAGTGAATAGTGTCACTTTTAAACAAATACCTACAACAAATGAACTTAAAGAAAAATGATATCAAGAATTTTACATCCTTTCCTTTTAAAGTTTATAAATACGTATTAATTGATTAGGAAAAAAGGCTCAGTCTTTTAAAAATTTCTAGTTCTACACTTCCACTTATGATATTGATTTCAGAATACGTACACTAAGAAATGGAACTATAATAATAAAATACTATGTCTTAGTTTTAGATATCTATTTTGCTTATTTAATTTCTGAATTACGCTAAAACACTTTTGTTGTGTCTAGTGGTTGAAAATAATAACAGATTTTAATATTTTAAAGTAAATTAATTAAATATTATTTCAAAACTGTATTAAAGCTTTATTTACTAAAATACATGAAAAAATGTATATAACTTTAATTATACTAAACATTTTAATTATGTATTTAAATATTATAGGAATTATTACAAATAATTTTATTGTAATGCTAAGTTACTTATTTATATTAAATTAATAAACATCACTATGTTAGTAGGTCACAGTTATCAATGCCGACTATATAGGTCTTGAGATTTGCGAAGCCCCAGTAAAAATATACTACAAATTATTATATGGTTTTAATTTCTTAAACATAACTTATAGTTTAAAAATTATTATTATAAAAGTTTTGTATATTTCTAAGTATGTACTCAATCTATTTTATTATCAATTGTAATTTCTCACTGCTGTGATTTAAACCATTTTTGTATAAGGACTCCATCCGTTTAATTATTATAAATACATAAATAAATAAAACATAAATTATATATTTTCACGCATATAATATAAAAATGTTTTTGATAAAAATATTTTGGTGAATTTTTGTTCTTAATAGATTATTATTTATTATTAGTAAGTGTGGATCATACAAAACTAAGAAATGTATAAAAATAAGTGCAGGTGTTTAGCTACGAGACAATCATAAAAATGAAAAGCCCCGAGGAATAGCCCTGCTCTTCCCTTCATCTATCATACCAACACTGATAGTCATGGTTAAAAAAAATTTTTACGAAATTAATCTAAGAGGAATCTAGGACTATAGAAATCACACTATTTAGATGTAATAAGTACTTTGTATTATTGTATAATTTTAAGGGGTTTATATAGGCAATATGTGTGAACTTTTGTGAAATTGAAGTGTTATTAATTTTTAATGTTTCAAAACATTTTTAAACAAATGTACATATTATAAATTGCTTAATGCAATGCCATTATAAATTTTAGTTATTGCGTAAATTATCATGAAATTTTGTTCAAAAATATATTTATTTTTATATGACATTGATTAGTAAATTTTTAGGTCGTAGATTTAAATTTGGTTTTTTGCAATATGAGTGACTTAAATTAGTTGTCTGCGTTTTTTTTACGTTTACATAAGTTTATGTTTTTAGTATTTAATTCTTTCGTTGACGTTTCATCAAACACCCGTGCCATTGTATCAATTACCAAGTGTCAACGTTGAACTATGATTATCTAAAAAGTGGAGAACTTCAATATAGGTGACGTGAAGAAATATTTAAGCGGAGTGTGTGTGATTTCTATCTATTGTATAGTGTTTAAACACGTAACGGGAAACAATGGTAAATCTTTTCTACGTGCCCTAAACACATACACTCATACTAATAAGTGTCTACATGTAAGTAAAGTTAAGCCTTAAGATATCCGTTTAATTTTTGGTTACATAGGAATAATTAGAGCAACCTAATTTAATGATTAACGACTTTTTCTAATAGTTCTTAAAATGTATTAAATGTATTTATAATTGAAATAAATTGTGATAAGTGAAGTTAGATGATGTAATTCAGATTTTAGAAAAAAGGATTTGAGGATAAAAGTATTTCAAACTCGTCTCTGAAAAGATTATAGAGTGCAAAAAAAGTCATAAAGACAGTATTTCAAATCTGCCTTTTAAGGGCGCTTTTACACTTTATCGTGTCGTTCGTAATTTATCATGCCGTGTTAAAATCGCATTGTTTTTGTTGGTTGAATGGTGTGTTTATCTTTTTATTATATCATGTTACCAAGTATTACTGTAAATTTGAACAAAATTAAGGAAGGTTTTCACAACATACATTTACATATTTTAATGACTAGCCACAAATATTTTACAATGATCATGGTTAGTATGGTTATAATATTTATGTCGTACTCGTGTATATCGCGGAAAACGTCAAACCAAGAGGAAATTCGATAGCGGTAAAGTTTTAGAATACGATAGATGCGGTATATTAGCTAACCATGGTATAATAAATAAAGATAACTATCGGATCTCCGTGATAACAATCTGAGATTTTAATGATTTTATAGGCAAAGAGCGTATAACAAACCCGACGATAGTTTTGGTTTTTGGAAGAAACAGATGAAACGCTGGATTATGGCGTTTACTATGTTTGCAAACGTTTATTAATCTAACAGCCCAAATTTCTCCGTTATCAAACGTTATTTTCAATGCTCATAATTTACCTAACCATGAATTAACAGGAAAATATCGAATATGAAACATACGTAGTACATAGTTAACGAAATGCGGTCACAGTGACAGACGACAGTGTACTAACCTTGAGCTTAATTTAAACTGCTTAGATCATATATTCACAAGGTGTAGTTAAGTATTTCGATTCAGTCGATATGTGTTTACATCGTTTACTAATACGGCAATACTCATGAATATAAATCATTATATAACTATAATTCCTATGCTATCAACTATAATATATGTACCAAACTGAGATTACCTAAATCACGAAAAATATAGTACACAAACGCCTCTTATATAACATGCTGATAGTAGAAATGTAGAATAGCACCTTTTTATAAGACGCCTCCAAATGTATTGATTATTATTTAAATACACAGCATTGAATTCGATATAGATGTCAATTTTATATTTATACATTTTAAACTACCATCGTCACGATCATGTGTAATAATAACTGTTTGAATAAATATTTGCCGCGGAGATAAAAATGTAACCAATAAGATAATTTCAGGGAATTTAGAACCATGGTTAATCATATAAGTTTGTACCAAGGTCTTGATCAAAATACTAGAAAGTTATATTTTTTCAGGTTAATGATAATGTCATGTGGTAAATAATAATAACTGATAAGAGATAAGTAGAAGGGCTTTTTAAGTTTGATTTTTGAAACGTTGATACTTGATATCTTTGTAATATCATATTTAGGTATCTTAAATCTTATTTTTTTAGAGTTTTTCAAGCTTTTTGTTTCTCATTAAAAATTTCAATATTAAGATTTTTACATTTTATTTAAAAGTTTGTGTCTTTGGTAATATTGTTAATATTTAATGATGAATTTAAATATTATTTTATTTTTATAACTTGTTGCATTTGAAATTTTTACCACCTGTCCACATTGTATTTATTAATAATTACAGTTTAAAATAATTTTTCAAATTATTTAAATATTGTATCTAATTTAATTTTAGTACATTTTATAAAAAAACAAATTATAATGAGGGACACTGCTCAAAATAAATTAATTGAACTTCAACATAATCCTAGTTCAATACGTAATATTTGTATTATGGCTCATGTTGATCATGGTAAAACAACATTGGCAGATTCTTTAGTTGCCAGTAATGGTGTCATATCTCAAAAGATGGTTGGTAAATTGAGATATATGGACAGCAGACGAGATGAACAACAACGTGGCATAACAATGAAAAGTTCATCAATAGCATTATATCATTGCAAAAGTAAAGTATATTAACTGTTCTGTGAATTATATAATTATACTAAAATTTATGAACATAATTTTAGATGAATCAGAATATCTTATCAATGTAATTGATTGTCCTGGACATGTAGATTTTTTTTCTGAAGTCTCTACTGCATTAAGATTATGTGACGGAGCTATTATTATTGTTGATGTTGTAGAAGGCGTTTGTCCTCAAACTCAGGTAAACTATTATGTCATATCGACTTTTTTTATTTACACCAGCAATTAATTAATAAATAATTATTTTGATTGATAATTTATATGTATCTGTAAATTTTGGTTGTAGGCTTGTTTAAAGCAGATTTGGTCAGAAAATATTAAACCTATTTTGGTATTAAATAAGATTGATAGGCTGATTTTAGAGTTAAATTTAACTCCACTTGATGCCTATGTTCATTTAACTCAAGTACTTGAACAAGTAGGTGCTGCTTTAGTGTAATTTAATATTTTCAAATTATTAATTTTATAATATTTAGGTAAATGCTGTTGTGGGAGAACTTTTTAAAAAAGATGTATTTGAAAAAGAAGCTGAAAGTAAAGAGCATATTGGTGTACAGTCAGGTGAAGATTTGTATAATCAGTGGAGCACTGCCATTGAGGCCGCTGATGATTCTGATTTATATTTTTCACCACAACAAGGAAATGTAGTCTTTGCATCTGCTGCTGATGGTTGGGCATTTAGGTATTTTTTTTTCTTACATTAATAGTATGTGTATATAAAATCTTTAAATCTTTAAGAGATAAATATGGTATAGGCAAAAAATAATTTGATTGATTTCTCATAAATTATTAGGAGTTTAAGTAATAACATATTTTTAAGATTAATATAATGGAGTCATATTTATAAAAATATATATATGTAAATGCTTAAAATTAAAAGTTTTTTATAAAACTATTTGAATTATAAAGAAGTATTTTTTTCTATAGTTCGTAAATCGAATAATTTTATTTTATTATTTACTCTTTCGTACTGTTCAAAATTATACTTATTTAAGTGGTTTTAGTATAGAAACGTTTGCAAACTTAGTATCAAACAAACTTGGTGTTAACGTTGATGTCTTAAAAAAGACATTATGGGGAGATTTTTATTTACATTCAAAGACCAAAAGAATCATGAAAGGTGCACAAGAAAAAGCCAAGAAACCACTTTTCGTTCAAATGATACTTGAAAACATTTGGCTTATATATGATGTCATTATTAATCAAAAAGTAAATTAAATAATTTAAAAACAGTAAATGTGATGTTAATAAAAAAACTATATCTTTAAACAAAATGATAAATGATTCATTTTCTAGGACAAAGAGCGTTTAGTAAAAATTTCAGAAAGTATGAATGTGACACTTTTTGCCAGGGATTTGCGTCAAACAGACACAAGAATTTTGTTGCAATCATTTTTATCTCAATGGATTCCTTTATCTTTATCAGTTTTAGGTAAATATATATTGTTTCATATAAGATATAGTGTAATAATCAACATATTTAATTAAATCTTAAATTTTCTACAGGAATGGTATGTGATAAATGTCCAGCACCAAATCAACTTACTGATGTCAAAATTGAAACTTTACTCTGTCCTCCAATGAAAGAATTTAATCTTATGCCTAAAGAAACCATAGCACTAAAAACTGATTTTTTAAAATGTTGTCCTGATGATGCTTCCGTCCCAGTTATAGCTTTTGTTTCTAAAATGTTTCCGGTTTGTATAAAAATATTTATATCTTTAAAAAAAATATTTTATCATTTAATTTATGTTATTTAATTTTAGATTAAAAGAAAATATTTACCTCAAAATAAACCAAAAGTATTAACTGCTGAAGAAATAGCTAAAAGACGAGAGTTGGCAAGAATTAAGCATGCTTTAAAAAGTAGTGTAATTAAAACAGAAGATTCAGAAACAAACAATTGTGCTACAGTTAATGATGAAGAAAAGAATTCAGAAGTTACAGAACCTACACAAAATGAGAATGATGTAATGTTTATTGCATTTGGAAGAATGTATAGTGGAACAATTCGTCGTGGTCAAGAAATGTATGTTTTAGGACCTAAACATGATCCATCAAAAATAACAGATAAAGTATGTTTTATGAGTAATTTATTTATATTATGAATACAATTTTTTTTTTAAATAATCATATTGTTTTTAGGATTTTTATGTTGATGAAAAATGCACTTTGACTACCTTAAAATCTGATCAGCATATCATGAAAACTACCATAACTGATTTGTACATGTTAATGGGTAGGGATTTAGAACCAGTAGACGAAGTTCCCGCTGGCAATATATTCGGTAAAAAATATTTTTTAAATCATATTTTCATTCATACACTATTAATTTTATTGTTTTCATGTATTATATATAGGTGCTGGTAATTTAGAACAATATATCTTGAAGAGTGCTACTTTATCTACTACTCTAGCTTGTCCACCATTTACAGAAATTAAAGCTATGGCCACACCAATCATGAGGGTAGCTTTGGAACCAAAACATCCAATGGATTTGCCTGACCTTGTCAGGGGTCTTAAACTACTTAATCAAGCGGATGCATGTGTTCAGGTAATGTGAACAATGTATTGGTTAATAATACATGATAAACATAATAAATAATATGTATTAATTGTTATTGTATTATATAATATAGAACAATTAGTGCACATTTTTATTTAATTGTTTCTAATATATTTTTGTCTTTTTATATTACGATTACATTCTTCTGCTTTTTCTATTAAACCTTTGAAATATTTTTTTGCAACTGTGTGTTTAAAATGTATGCTATCAATTAATGTTGATGAGTACGTTTTATACACATTGGGGATCTTGAAATGAGAATAAGCCTCATCAATACTTAATAATATTGTGTTTGAAGGGGACCATTCCAGTTCTTTATTCCATCTTACTAATCTCAGTTGTATTATGTCATTACAGTTGCTAATAGCTGATTTTCCTTTCCATATGGTTGTAACTAGGTAATATATGTCTTCTACATTTAAGAAAAATGCTAAACAAATCTTAGTGCACAGTTGTGCCTCAGTTATTTTAATGTTTTGCAATATGTTTTCATAAGGTGTTAAAATTATTTGTTCTATTGTAATTCTATACAAATGATTACAATCTTTACATGTTTTTGCTTTTGTTAAGTTTGATTTCATCACAAATCTGTTCAAAGTTTTCAACTTTCTACAATTATAGCATTTTATGTAGTTTACAGGTTTTAATATTTTTGATGTGATCGCTGGATTTATTTCTGGTTGTTTTAGAATCCATTGAAAAGATATTTCTATACGTTTCCTTAAAATTTGTAATTTATCATCTTCTATTTGAATAACATTCAACATGGTCAATTCTCTAGTTAACAAATCAATAATTGGTTTTGTTAAATCTGTTTCTTTAAAGGGCTCTAAAGTTTTTTGCAACTTTAAAAGCAATTTAGTTCTTTCATCTTTATTTAGATCATTTCTTTTTAGGTCTATGTAAAGAATCATCAATTGTTTTGCTTGATATGTTTCGGGAGTCTTAATAGAAATTTTTTCTCCATTGTTTCTAGTCATGATAACTGGCTTAGATATTTTAAATAGTTGTTCAATTATTTTTTTATCTTTTGCTATTTCTTTAACTTGATTCCTATGTTTAGTTATTTCTTTTAAGCATTCCAATTTTTTTTTTAAGTGTTCTTTATTTTCACTTATTACACATTTTGGTGATTTATTTTTTACAAGACTTTTGATGTTTTTATAGTGATCATTAATTATAGAATAAAGAGCTTCAAAATGTCTAGTCTTAGTAGGAAACTGTAGATTTAATTTATATTTTGAATGCTCAAATTTAATAATGTTTTTTAAGTTTTCCTCTTCATCATCACAGGTTAATTGCTTTTTGTAGTTATAGTATTTCAAGATACGCTCAAATTTATTTCTTGTTATCCACAATCGCACTGACTTTTGTATTATACGAACATATTTATTGAGGTCTTTTATTCTGTTTGCATCCGGAAGTATAACAGGTTGACGAGGAGCTATTGTTAAATAAACAAAAATTAAATAAATGTTGCTTGTCTTAATTTATGATAATTACTTATTTCTCTTATAATATTTAAAGAACGAAGAATATCCATTGATTCAGTTTGAGTACCAAATTCAACTATAGATTCAGTAGATGCATCTTTAGTTTGAATTGTTTGAATTGCCATTGAAATTTTATTCTCGTAGTATTGATTATCAAAGTCAATATTTTCAGATACTGTTTGTACAATTGTGTTTCTATACAGCTTACCAGTATTTTTATTTCTATATCCTGTTACACATTTTGGCATTGTGGCATTTGTGTCAAGTATATTTCCATACTTTGAATGTATTATGGACTGTGGTGAAGCATTGGACTCATTGATTACCTTTTCATTGTCCTCACAATGTTTGATATTTACTGATATTTGAATTGGACAGTTGTTCCATTTTTGTTTTAGTAATGTGTAGTCATTTATTTCAAATACTTTATGTTCCTCGTGTATAACACATTTTATTTGTTGTATGTTTTCTATTTTTGGTTGTAAGGCTAGTAAAATAAAACGTTTCACTTCCAAAATTGTATCTGACAATGCAAAATTAGTTGACAAGATATTATTGTTTGGAAGTGTTACTTGAACAGGAATAGAGGCATATTGATTTGGAGGAATACTCAAGTCTGAGTACATCTTGGCATTTCTGTCAATATTGATATGCTTTGATGTAGTACTTTCTATCATGGTTTATACTCATAAACACTCTTATTATCTTAAAGAATATACTGATTTTAAATATAGATAATTTTATTAAATTAAGAAAAAAAAAAATGTTTGTTGTATTATATTTACAGGCCAGCAGATATTTTTATTATTTAAATTTAAAAAAAAAAAAATAAAATATAGTGAGTATTTAGTGAATAAAAACAAATTGTATTTAATATTGATTATTTATAGAATTTAATACTTATGGTATTACAATATATTTAGAGACGCAATTTCTTGCTGGAATAAATTATTTTTTTTTATTATTTATTTAGCCATTAACACAAAACTAAAAATAAATTATTGTTAATTTTAAAAATTGCTACTAATATTTATTTAAATAATGACATAAAATCTTGAACTTAAATTAATGAATGAATTAACATTACCAAGTGTACATTGTTTGTTAAAGGTTATAATGCAAGAAACAGGCGAGCATGTAATTGTTACTGCAGGAGAAGTACATCTTCAAAAATGTTTAGACGACCTTCGTGAAAGGTATCAATTATCGATTTATTCATTGAAAATACTTTTACAAATTGTAAAGATTATAAATTTATTATAAAATTTAGGGAAAAAAAATAATTAACTCATATAATGCCAAATATGTATTAATTAAAATGATTTGTAATAACAAAATATTTAAGTATATTAATCAGTTTTCTTTTCATTAGATATGCTAAAATCGAAGTTATTGCTTCAGCTCCAATCGTACCTTTTCGAGAGACTGTTGTTGTGCCGCCTAAAGTGGATATGGCTCATGAAATTGTTGAAAATCAAGTAATTATTATCATATTGATATAGTTGAATTTTTGAAATAAATGTATAAAACAGATTATTAATTAATAAATATAATGTTAACTATAATAAAAATAAAATTGAGATTTTAAAATCTTGTTTGAATAATAAATTATAGATAAATAAATAACAAATATTTTTTGTATATGTTTAGAAAAATGAGACTGAAGAAAATCCAAATGGTCTATTGAATGTTTATACATCAAATCATCTGTGTTGTATTAAGATACGAGCTGAACCGTTGCCTATAGCTGCTACAAATCTTCTAGAAAAGTCAACAGATATTTTAAAAGCTTTATCAGAACAAAAAACTGAAAATATTGCTGATGCATTAGAGCGTTTGAAAATTGAGGATAGTGCTTCTAAAAATATTAAAATCGCTATCGATACATTTCGATCTCAATTACAAGAAGCGCTCGGAAACAATATTGACGTGTCTCAAATTTGGGCATTTGGACCTAGAAAATGTGGTCCAAATATCTTATTAAATAGAATACCAAGTAAATGCTAATTAAATGCTCATTACAAAGTTGTCAATGATTAACGTTTATAAACAATAATTTTATTTCAGATTACACAAGATCAGTATGGAATCCAAAAGACAATGTGAATGATTTGACAAAGTATGAAAATAGTTTTATGAATGGTTTTCAAATAGCAACTTTGGCCGGTCCTTTATGTGAAGAACCAATGATGGGGGTGTGTTTTGTAGTCGAAGATTGGACAGTTGATGTTTCACAACAGATCTCATGGTAAATAATTTATTTCTTAATTTTATTAATTTTTTGAATTGCTAAAATTAAATATTGATTATAAAATAGTGATCCTTATGGACCTATGTCTGGGCAAATCATGTCAGCTGTAAAAGAAGGATGTCGGAAAGCTTTTCAAGCTCAACCACAAAGACTTATGGCTGCTATGTACTCATGTTCTATTCAAGCTAACGCCGAAATTCTAGGTAAATTTTGCATATTTAGTTTTAATGGATTTTATCGATTTCTATATAACATATTGTCAATTAGGTAAAATGTATGCTGTTTTGGGAAGACGTCATGGTCGAGTCATTAGTTCAGATATGGCACATGGTTCTGCATCCACTTTCAATATAAATGCTTTGTTACCAGTTATAGAAAGCTTTTCATTTTCTGCGGAAATTCGTAAACAAACATCTGGTTTAGCTAGTCCACAACTAGTTTTTAGTCATTGGGAGGTATTAAATATTATTATGATTGTTAAAAGAACTATTTAAATAAGTTATTTTTAACATTTTTTCGCAATAGGTAATTGATATCGATCCATTTTGGGTACCAAATACCGAAGAAGAATTGGAGCTGTTTGGTGAAAAAGCTGATTCTGGTAATCGAGCTTTAAATTATATGAATGCCGTCCGTAAACGTAAAGGTTTGTCAGTCGAAGAGAAAATTGTTGAATTTGGTGAAAAACAACGTACTTTATCGAAAAATAAATAAAAAATACAATTTATTAAAACTATGTTTTTAACAGAATAAATGTACAGTATTCTTTTTTTTTTCTTTAAATATAATATAAATTGTTATGTTTTTATTTCTTTTTCTCAGTTTTTTTAGCAGCTTTCTTTTTCATCATTTGAACTCTCTTTTCCATAACTGACATCATAGTACTTGAAGTGGGTGGATACTGTTTAGGGCTGCTGTTGGCAGAAGATGATTTAGATTTACTTGAACTTGATTTAGTTCCTATAAATATACATATCATTTATTATAATGTTATTGTTTATAATTCACAAATATTTATGAAATTTACCTTGAGAGGTTTTACTGCTAGATAATTTTTCTGCTTTGGATCCAGAAGCATTTTTGGAAGAGCTTTTCTTGCTTTCCTTTCCCGATGAACGCGACTCCTTTACATATAGTAAAACAAATTAAATCTTACAAAAACAAGAAATTACACATGTGACTTATACTTACAGTTTTCTGAGAGTCTTTCTGTCTACAGTTAATACAGTACCATACAATTCGAGGGTCATTAAGGTTTATATCTATTATTGGTGGATTATGACAGTTTTGATGGTACATAGAATGGCATTCTAAACATTCTACCAGACTGTTTCCCATCACAACATAACTCTCTCTAAAATAACGAAACAAAAAGAAATAAAATTATTGACCGTTTCAAAGTGGTAATAATTATTTTTCACATACTTGCAAGTACAACAGGAATACGGTTCTACCTTTTCTGTTTCTGATTCAGAATCTGAGTCAATATTTATGACAGGATCAGATTTGGCCTGTTCTAATGTAATGGTGGGCGGTGGAGATGAGCTTACTTCTATAATGGATTTTGATGTTGTTGCAATCGGACTGGAAGAGGAACTTGAACTGCTTGATTCGTCGTCTAACTATAAAGTTTTTAAATGTATATTGTGCTGTTAATGTATTATAAAAATTATTTTCACTTACGTCTACTTGTTCAATACCCAGATCTTTTGATAGCAAAGCGGTAGGAATTGATAATTTTTTGGCAGCGTTTGTTGGCCGCCGATTGCTACCGTATGACTCCTGTATGGAGTCTTCGAAATGTTTAAACAAAAGTTTAATAGAATTTGAATCTTTGGTGCGGCGTAAGAGTTTGAAACCGGTCTTCATGAATGGTTCCAATTCTACAGAGGTCTCCATAATGCGTATTAGGCGATTAAAAATGTGCAAGTGAAAACCCTAATATTATAAAAATTTAAAATAATTCAGAATCGACGTAGAAATATGAATTACGAACAGTGTTCTAAGTAAATTGCATATTTGTATTTTGTTTTTATCGTTTTTACTTGTTATCAATAGTAAGCGGGCGGCTCGCTTATCAAGATAATATTTATTAAAAAATCGCGTAAACGCGTTGTCCGGGAAAAATTTAATTCTTTCAATTACGATTCTTCTTGACGTTTCTCGACCAAGAGAACGTTGTTTTTAAAATCGTGATTCGACCGTTACTTTTTATTATTATAATATAATTTACGTCACAGTTCAAAACTAATAGGTAATTCAAAAAAAGTAAAATACGAGTTACCCACGCGATATTTACTTAAAAATGGAGATATTGTTAAATTCTGACTATATATTATATAGTTACAAGAGCATTGCAAATTTGAGTTTTATATCTAAAAAAATAAATATAAATCATTCTGTAGTTATAAGATATTTCAATATTTGGTTTTTTAAAATAATTATTCCTGAATATTGGTTAGGTAAAAACCAAAAGGGTTAATACTTCTTTGGAGCAATAATTAATCTAGAAGTACGCACCATGGCGTTTGTGGCGAGAAAAATACTAGCAAAAATAGAAAAATAGCAAGACACTATTATACTTAATTTCTTTTCCAGTATTCTTTATTGTGGTCAGTTTAGAAACAGATAAATGGTACGATATCGTCGAGATTTAAGAGATCCCACTCTTAAACATCCAGTACTCGTTATGGTGGTCAGTTGTTCGAGAGTAAAGCAACCGTAGAACTATTGAGTATAAAACATCCTGCAGACACTTATTAAATTATTTTTTGGGGTGTACTCATTAACGTGGTCACCAAAGGACGCTTGAAAGACGATAATAAAATCCCGCGTTTGGTGATGTTACATTGCCGTCATAACTTTCGGCATGGAAAGATGTGATCGGAAAATCATGTTATGTCGAATACAATAACAGACGGTCGCTGTTGTAACGCACGTGAATATGTCATAATATTATGATTATTATTATTACTGAGCGCGTAATAACACTAATAAGTAATAAGTAATAAGTAATAACCGATAAACCATAAAGCGACGACCGGGACACGCCTCGAAGCCATAATGGTAAAACAAGTCTATTATGTGACGCACTGATTAAGTATTCGCCAAGATGAAGAACGTTATTACGATAGACTCGGGAGTTTGAATAATAGGACGTTGGTGAATGATTTAAGCTTGACGAGCGATGACGCACGATTTTGTGCTGAAAACTAATTTCCGCGACGTGCGAATTTATTCGAGTCGCAATTTCCAATACCTACCCCTTGGCGGGTCTGAATGGTTTCCCAGGGTGAAATTACGATGTTCCCATAATAGATTATTAATAGTATAATATATTCAAAGTTGAATTTATCATATCTTCATTGTACAACTTGTATTTTGTACATTATACATTTTAACATTTATGATTTAAATATTTGAATTACTTATGTGTTTACCATGAACTGAGAGTTTAGTTCGTGATATTTACGAAGTATGTTATCCGTTCGGGTAAATAGACATATAATAATATAATATGGCTATATGATACGTAAAATTATTGTCTTGTCGTTTGTTAATTCATTTCGGTATAATACTATTTCGAATTTAGATATAAGACAATTAGTCTTATTGTCGTGAAATATAAAAATTGCTAATGAAAATGGAAAATAAATAAATAATATAAGTTTATTTCATACAAATGTTGGCAGTTTATTTCGATAAATCATACAACAAATTAGGGTGTATTCAAATTATAACCAATTACCAACTTTTTAAAAACAATTTAACCACTTATTAAATTAAGGTTTAAATTATTCTATATGGATTGAATCCAATAATTGTATTATTGATGTTATATCTCTTTAATCATTATAAGTATTGTTTGTAATAATGAATTCATGTATAAGAAATTGAATGAAAAAAATACATCAAATTAAACATTACATAACAAGTAACATTAATAAAATGATAAAACAATTTCTCATATTTTAATTTTTTTTGTTTTAGTGTTATAATTTTTACATGTTAACATTTTACACCATTCATATGATTTATACTTATTTATTAAAGTCTGTACTATATATTATCCCAATATTAAAATAATATCTTTAGAAACAAAGAGATAAATAATAATAAATAATAATAAAATATTTGAAATTCTTAAGATTAAACCTATAAATGAATTAATCTTAAAGAATGATTAAAGGATGTTACAGTTGGCACAATGTGCTATATTTTATTTGGCTAGTTCATTTGACAGCCAATCCAATCCTTCATATAAACCGTTGCCTTGAGTTGCACACGTAGATTGAATGTACCACTTCCTCTGGTGCAGTTGATTCAGTCCAAGTTTGTTTGTGAGATCCGATACATTCATTGCATTAGGAAGATCTTGTTTGTTCGCAAATACTAACAACACAGCATCTCTGAGGTCGTCTTCTTGCAGCATGTTATGTAGTTCTCGTTCTGCTTCTGCTACTCTTTCTCGATCGTTAGAATCTACAACAAATATCAATCCCTGGGTGTTTTGGAAGTAGTGTCGCCACAAAGGACGAATTTTATCTTGGCCACCCACATCCCAAACTGTAAATGCAATATTTTTGTATTCAACAGTCTCAACGTTGAATCCTATTGTCGGTATGGTTGTGATAATTTCACCCAGTTTTAGCTTGTAAAGTATGGTAGTTTTACCAGCTGCATCCAAGCCAACCATTAGTATGCGCATTTGCTTTTTTCCGAACAAACGGGTGAAAACTGTTGATAATGTTAAGCCCATTGTATGTATTTTAGAAACAATATACCTGAAAAATCGTTATTGTTGAGTCTTTTGATAAAATTATTTAGGAGTAAACTAAGTCAGTTCAAATGTAAATTTGAATCGACCCTGAGTGAGTTTTAAATAAAATAACAATATAATTTACCCATTTATTGAGAAACTTCAGTGAAGTACGATGTTAACGACAGTAGTCGGGCGGAGTTAAACGAACGTCGACAAAATCGTCCTAAACAAGCACCAAATAGCCACATTTATATAAAATCGTCTTTGTTTTTCAACTTATATTATCATTCGTGTACGTGTATTATCATAGTGGCGGTGATAAGGTGTCTGAAGTAGATTGGCTATGCTGAAATCATATTGATTTTTTCGTTCTTAAAACACCGGTCCTACTGTACAGATCTGTCAAGGGTCCGTGATAAGAATAACATTGACAGACGATTTTGCTGCTAATAAAAATAACATCAAATTTAGTAATTGATAAATTTTCCCCGAAAACGGTGTTTAAAAATAGTTATTATTCTTTAATTTTTAAGTCTGTGATAGTTGTACCATGAGTTTGGGGATGTGTTGCGCGTCGTCACTAATTTGAGTTTAATTGATGAAATCACGATCAACAAGACTTGTCGAAAATGACCACTTCGTTTTTGGAGAACAAAATTTTGAATCTACAGGCCCGTTTGAAAGCGGACAACGATACTGTTGAGGACATGCCACCTCCATCACTCTCTAGTCCCAGACAGGGATCGGGGAGACGACCTAAACAACGTGAGTATGCGCACATTAGGTTTTTTCTTTTGTATTAATAGTAATGAAAAAGAGACCATCATGACCTTGATAATTACATCATAATTGGTTCTGGGTTGATTTTAGTTGGTGACATGGGAACACCGACTAGAACTCGTAAGCACATTGACCTACCAGTAAGTGTACTAATGCAGCCTCGGGTCGAGGATACTTCTGAAGTTGAAGTCAAGATGAAACAGATCATGAAAATGAGTGGTTTACTGACTATCAATGGAATCGTTAGTATAGTATTTTATGTTTACACTTTATAAGTTAATTATTGTTTAATCAATTTGTTTTGATATTTAGAAATATAAAACTGAGTTAAAAGATTTAGAGCATCTTGGAGAATTAGGAAGTGGTACGTGTGGTCACGTAGTAAGAATGTTACACAAACCCAGTAATACTGAAATAGCTGTTAAAGTGAGTTGTACTTTTTTAAATCGATTAATTGTGTGACTAATTATAAACTTATTCTCTTATCTATATTATTTAGCAAATGAGAAGGTCTGGAAATAGTGAAGAAAATAAACGTATTACCACTGATCTTGAAGTAGTACTCAAATCTCACGATTGTCCTTATATTGTTAAATGTTTGGGTGCATTTATTACTGAATCAGATGTGTGTATATGTATGGAATTAATGGCTACCTGTTTTGATCGTCTTTTGAGAAGACTCAAAGTACCAATTCCTGAAGATGTACTTGGGAAAGTTGCTTTACATGTTAGTATAAGAAATCCTTAAAATTAAATAATGTGAATAATGCTAATTTTGTGTTTTAGACTGTAAAAGCGTTAAGCTATTTAAAAGAGTCTCATGATGTTATACATAGAGATGTTAAACCATCAAACATTTTGCTCGATGAAAGGGGGAATGTAAAACTATGTGATTTTGGTATTTCGGGTAGATTAGTTGATTCTAAAGCTCGTACTAAAAATGCTGGATGTGCTGCTTATATGGCTGTATGTATTTCTTAATTAAGATATAAAATCAAACCAAAATTAATTTAATTGTTTTAATTAAATGTTGTGTTTTTTCAGCCTGAAAGAATTGAACCCAGACAACTGGATTATGATATACGATCTGATATTTGGAGTTTAGGTATTACATTGGTTGAATTGGCTACAGGTGTGTTTCCTTACCGTGATTGTAAATGTGATTTTGAAGTGTTAAGTCGAGTTTTAAATGATGACCCTCCTTCACTTCCTCAAGATCAAGAATTCACCTTAGAATTTAGAAACTTTGTATCTAGTTGGTGAGTATTTAGAAAATTTACTGAACAATTTAATTTACATACTTTTTTTTTTATTTTTAAATTTATTATTTTTTTTAGTTTGATAAAGGATTACAAAGTACGACCAAAATATAAACAATTATTAGAACACCCTTTTTTACAAAAATATATGGTAAAAACAGTGAATGTTGCTGAATGGTATGCTGAAGCTACAAGTCAAAATACAATACTCAAGTAATTTTAGCGATATCTATGGTTTATGACTTTAGTTGTTAATATTTTAATTGTGTAGCTGATGTTTCAATAAATTAATAAAAAAAATTTTCATTTATAAATTATATAATTTACAGAGTAGCAAAACCAGCTGTAGAAAACGTTCCTATTAGTGTCCATAAGATGTCAGATAATCAATTTCCTTCATTAAGTTTAACTGATAAAAACAAAATCAATGGGTTAGTATAAGTAGTTATATGTTAAAACAACTATAATAAATGTGTATTTGATTGTTACTCTGTTTAGAAATGTGGTAATTGACTCTCCAAAACCTGTAAAACGTTTCCCAAGTATAGAAATGCCTCCTTCAGTGTTATTGTCACCGTATAAACAATTGACGGGACAATTAACAAATGGTGGTAATGTTTCTGCAAATACTAGTCCATTAGTACTGCAACGGTTTTATCATCAACAAAATCAACATCATTCTAGGTGAAAATATTGAAATAGATTATTTGAAATTATTCATGATAAATTAAAACATTTTTAATTTCATGTTTATTAAAGTAAATTTAACCTAACTTTTATTTTTTAGGTCATCTTCTGTATCTCCAAGTCGGTTTGAACGAAATACTCCTAGAGAAATTAATCCCTCAGATTCACCAAAACCTAGTCCAAGGAAGAGTCTGATTTCTACCTACCTCAAATTCGCTCCATGGAGCAAAACTCCTCCTAGTCCTCCACCACGAAACCAAAACACACCAGCAATTTCATCACCTTTAGTAACAAGACGTGAGGTGTGTCCTGCCTCTCCAGCACCTATACGTAAGACTTTTGAAGGTTCTCCAGCCTTATCTAGACGATATGTATCTCCTGTTCCACCAACTCCTCCGCCACGTCGCCTATCAGAAAGTGGATCGTCTCCTTTACACACATTTTACCAACAACGATTATTTGGTCAACCAAAATTGGATGAAAAAGATCGAAGATATACACCTCAACCACGTAGACGTGTCGTTTGCCAGTTTAACGATATATGACAACTACTGTGTGGACAGAGACGTAAAGAATCTGTTCCCAAAAACAGTGAGTGAACTACACTGTTTAATTAGAACATTATAATATAAATTATTAAATCATGTTCGATAAAAAATATTTAATTTAGCAATTTAAAAAGACAATTTATACATAATATAATATTATTAAATTATGAAAAACAATGTTAAACACTTTATAACTAATTAATTGTATGACAGATCTAGTTACTATTCATTTCGCTGAAAATTACTTTTTAATTTTTTTTTGTTAATTTTTTTTACTTGATGCACATTTCATTATTGTTACATGTGTTGAACAGTTGTGTAATTGCAACTAGCAATTCAGATCCAATTATAGTATAATATTAATATTTTATGGGAATGTTTATCAAACATGAACATGAAACTTAACTGGTAACCAGTTCCTTATTTGTCTATTAACTGGTGAATCTACTCGCTAAATTCTTATTATTAAGAAAGTGAGTATATTATTATGGATTTATTATATTATATTATATTATATTATATTACAACATAATTTATATGATCTATTTAAAAATACATTTTGTACAACAGCACTTTGATTTGAGCAAAGTTCATTTAGTGTAGTTAAATCAAAAACCTTGACAGCCATTTATTTATTTATTATTATTATTTTATATTTTGCTACTTACATTTGTGTATTAATATTTTTTTTGTGTTCTGTTTTAAATTGTTTGCTCAATTTGTTTGTTTTTTTTTTTTTTTTTTTAATGTGACTAGTCACGGTGTCACAGCCGAAATGTCTCAGGTTATATTACCCGCATATAATGTATCTTACTGTGATTTTTTAAACATTTTAATTTGCTTCATTGTGTACCAAGTTTTATAGTTAAATATTTTAGCTTACATTATGTCTATACAAACTTAAATATTATATATTATAAGCAATATATAACCTATATATATATATATATATTTATTTATATATATTACGTTCTAGTCATGATATATAAATATTATTGTTTCAGAATGATATTTTGTATAAAGTTAAGAAATTATGTTATTTGATCAAAACAATATAATACAATATATAAAAAAAAGCATTTATTTTTTGGCAAGCACATTATATGTATATATAATTTGTATTTTGACATCATTAACAACATGTTTTTGGTATCTTAGTCAATGCCCATTTTTATTTGGCTCTCGTTGTATGTAATATTCTTTGGTTCAGTTTGATGAATTGTGTAGCTCACAATCAACGTCTGTATCCAATTTTTCGAAGTGCTTTTAGGTCAACATCTCCGTAGTAATCTTCACTATAAATGTTAAATAAATATTGAAATATTAATCATAATGTTTGTTTTGGTTTATTAAAAATGTGTGATCTTTAAATTACGTTGAAAATGATTTAATTAAATATATACGTAAATAAATTATTAATGTGTTAATATTTCATACTTATTCTTTTTATTCTATTGTTAGGTTTGTTAACTGCTGCATCGCGCACGATTATGCTTTAAAGATTTTGTTTCATAGATTTTTACTTAGTGATCAAAAAACAAAATAAAGCTTTTTCATGCAACGTTCTGTATTGGCTATTAAGTGTACATAATAATACCATTCAGCTGTTCGAGCAGAGTAGTGCGCAAAATTTTCGCAGTAATTGTTCGCATTCGTGTCCGTTCGTTTATTATCGTTCCAACATATGGTAATTTTTAAAATTAGAAATCCTATTAAAAACCGAACGGTGTCGGTAACTATTATAAGGGTTAATATACATTGTAATAATAATACATTATTCCTTTTTAATCGACACTACGTAACAGCTGCGATTGTATATTTGTATGAAATTGTTTTTAGGTGCGTGTTTAAATTCAATTTAGTAAGGGTACAGTTCGTCGGGTTTCGACCGCGTCTAAATTCTCATTAAATTCTTGTCGAATAAAATGTTTTTTTACTCGTGTCCTATCGTTCGATCGCCGCTACATACGACGCTAATGGATTTTTCCGTTGAAGTCTGTTGATTTCGATACCAATCGAAATGTCTATATTATGTTATTTAAAGTGCCTACGCCTTGTAACACTGTTTTGCAATTTAATCAACACATTATTTTTCATGCATTTTTAAGAGAACAACTTATTACGGATAATCGGGTTAAAGTTAATAATAATAAATTGTTACCGCTATATACTTTTAGCAAAACCAACTTGCTCGATCGCAAATTAAGTAGCACAGCTTATTATTTTATAATAATACAATCAGGAATTGCAGGCAATTAGGTGTGTACCTACTGTACGAATATCGGAACGACAAACGTGAATGCTTAAACAAGATAATATTGTAAGTACTACACATCAAGGTATCCAATTTAAAGTTCTACAATCTCAAAAACAAGATTGCGGATGTTTTGAACCTGTCTAAGTTTTTAAAAATCATTTACAACACGAGAATCAAAAGTTACAAATATCTACCTATTGTTGAAACGCTTGTATTATGTGTAGATATGAAAGAAGAGTTTATGTTAGTTGCATGCAAGAGACGTGTTTTTTATAATATATAATATTAATTATATACGATTATATTATGTACATCTTAGGTGTGTTTTACTGTTACGCTCGCTGTTATTAAATATTTATTTATTGTACCTTGGTATTCGAAACGTCGTAACCTTTTATAGGCGCAGGTCACAGGACGAGTTTGATTTTATAAATTATTATTTATTGCGATAGAATAATAATTATCATGACGAAGGCAGCGATAAGTGATGAACAATATAGAAATATGTGTATTCAAATATATATATATATATATATTTATATTAATATATTTACTATAATAACTATGTTTTTAATCTAATCATAATAAAATAATGAATTATTAATAAACTTACATTAATAAAAAACATAATTATTACAAAGACAAGTACATATATTGTAAAAATAAAGAGCGTAATTTGTACAAAATATTTTTCATATAGTAATTTATTATAAATTGAATTAATTATTTTATACATATATATTTAAAACTGCAATTTATCGTGAACGGGACAATGTGGATTTACCTACCAATAAAATATAACGATTGGGGTTTTAATACATCTATGAAGTAATAAATGCACATATCGTGTTGTGAATAAACTATCGGGTATAATTAAATATATATGTATATATTTTTTTTTTGATTTTTGCACTTAAATACGAAAATAATTATATTAACAAGTGTGTGTATTGGTGATAGGAGTGCCCAGCGGCAGCAGTAAAAGTAGCAATTTGCGGTTGCAGCTGCAGCCGCCACCGTCGCATAAATGTGTTTACCGTAATTGTTTACAATTAATCACGGGAACAGGGATAAATTACATAGGGGATTAGGGGAACGGACGGAACAGTCGGTCGAATTCGAGTACGACGTCGTTTAAAAAAAAAAAAGCGTATAAAAAAAAAGGAAACAAAATAATACTAAGTATAATAATAATTAAAAAAAAAAAAAAACGTATTAAATTGTGTGAGCACCTGCTTATATATCCTCTGTACATAAATCGTTATTTTTATACGCGTCGGACCGAGGACAGTATGTGATATAGCATGGGTTGGAGGGAAGGAGAGAAAATTCGGTGCTCACGCAATTCAAAAACCGTAAGTTCTAAAAAAAAAAAAATTCAAAAAGTCAGTGTGTTTGTGTGTTTGTGTATGTGTGTCCGTCACCGCGGGCGAGTTACGCCGCTGCCACTGTTGTCCTCTCGTCTAAGCGTCTTCGTAGTCTTTGGACGACTGCGAGGAGACGGGAAGTTGTTGGGGTTGTGGCCTGCTGGACTGCTGTTGTTGGGGTTGCGGCCTGTTTGACTGCTGTTGTTGCCTCTGTGGCTGTGCCTTGGGTGCCGCCGGTGCGGGCTTGGACTCGGCCGAAGATGATTGTTGTTTCGACTTGTTGTCCAGTCCGGACAATAGTTCGCTCTTCCTGATCGCCTTCAGGTCCAAGTCGCCGTAGTAGTCCTCACTGCGTACACACATAGGTAGGTTTGTTTTGATTTTTTTTTTTTACTCCGTCCACGGTCGTCGCCGAGTCGTTATTATACTTATATTAATACTACTATGCTAATTTATATCACTAAACGTATATGTAGTATCACTACCTATACAAATGTCAACGCATTATAATGTACACATATAAATATTTACGCGTTAATATTTATGCATTTTATGTGTGTGTGTGTGTGTGAATATTTGAAGAATAGTCTTAAAAAAACCCGAAGGATGCGCCTGAGATAAAAAAAATTCAACATAGTATTGAAGAAACATTAAAAAGTTACGATGTAATGTACAAATATTTATTGTGTACACACAGGTATACACGGTGTCATTGAGTACAATTCGAAGGTAGCGGGTCGATTTTCAGGTTGTCGTTGAAAAAAAAAAACGTAATGTAAATTGCAATAATTATCGACTTAACAGGTTTTGGCCGAGCACCGCCTAATATTATGCGACATCGCCTCGGAACCTACTTTATATTATTATGTAATTGCGCGTACATAATATTATGTTATTGAATTTCATATCGGACAATAATTGCAGCGGGATAGGTGTCGAGCACACAACTGCAGCAGTTGAACTCGGGCCAATTATGAATTGAATTTCGTGCAAGCATCATGACCACATAAAAAACCGAACCCGGGGCGGAATGCCTGCACCGGAAAGATGGCGGTGACGCGCGGAACGTGTACGGCGTAATATTAAACGCGTCGTGCTGAGGAATTCGTGTTACAGCAGGTATTTAAATTTTTTTTTACCTCAGTGGTAAGACGGTGTGCACTCGGCGTATAGACTCGGCACGGACGATTTTCCCACTCCTCGGGACGGCGTTTTTCATTTCATTGGCAACGCGATCGATTATCTCACATGGTGTTTTAAATTTAAATATCACGCGGTCGGATAAAACGTTAAATTAAATCGTTATTATATGGTTACTATACGACGTTATATACGCGTGCAACGTGTAGGAATACATAGTAGGTACCTATAATGCTAGACCGGGAACTTTTTCTTCTATCGCCGCGGGTTAAAAATCCGTAGGTAGTCGTCGCCCGCGTCGGTACGTAGGACAACAAATATTTATATATACCTATTACTGCAGAGCGTTGTAGCTGTTTATATATATATATATATACATATACATATAATCAGTAGTCTGTATAATACATGGAAGCGTAGTATCGCTTTCACTTTTTGTGGTTCAAACGCCGTGATACACATTTACATTTTTTAACGATTTCGGACGATATAATATTTTAATTGTATTTGTATAAACACGTCTGTGCGCATGATATATCTCAGGCACATACCACGAAGTTAACTCAACACATGCATACAACACACACACACACACACATTTATAGATATTTGTACAATTAAAACCTATATCTATATCGTTATGCACGCACACACCCGGTCATTATATAATTACGTTGTATGTGTTGTGTCTGGTTTGCGTGTTTATATATATATATATATATGTATATCATTATGGAAACGAAGTTATTAAATATATATATATATATATAAGTAGGTACATATATCTAATATATATTTTGGCTCAGAGATTACGGTGATATTTCGTTCTAGCTGCGTCTGGAACGCTCAATTGGCCCGTGAAACTGTCTACGTATAACATTTGTATTTATATATATATATGTATATATTATACCGCACTAATATCGTGTATAAAAAACGTTTTCACACTTGACTGTTGCAAAAATGATTATAATATGCCTCTCTCTGATGCAGTGGTTTATAATTTCGTATCTGCACACGTGGGTATCTGTATATTATAATTGCGAATTGATATTAAATGTTTGTATTCGTAAAAGCGCTTTCGCAAAAGGAAAAAAATAAAGAAACAATATCCGTAAAACGATAGGATAATATCTATATAATATATAGATAATAATTGGTTGGCACCTTTGAAGTGTTCTGTGTTTGTGGTTTTTCTTCACCGATGCAATGCGCACATTAACTACTAAGTTTATTATGTAATGTAATTTGTGTATGTACTGTACGTACGCGTATAGGCACTGCGAATATCAGAGCGCGTGTGTGTCGGAGACTTAAACGATTCGAAAGAGAAAAACTGTGTATATCAGTATACATATTTTATAGAAGAAAACGTCTGAGAAGTGCTCTCATCTGACGGTTTGAAGACCGCATGCAGCCATATCATGCACGCCGAGATGTTAATCGTATGTATAATATGTTTATAAGTAATTTCTTCACACGTACTCACTAACTTTTTCGAGAAAGGGTGTTTGATGGTTTGTCGAAACATTACATCCACGGTTTTTAGGTGATTATAACAGTGTTAAATCATTACCGAAAAATTAAACAAAAATAATATTCGTTTATCATCTGATTTCAATTTAACGACGTTTAGGTACCTATCTTAAAAAGTTTATTAGATTTAACTTGCGATTTCATATACCCCGTAAATATAAATAGATAACATTGTTTTATTCGCAAACAGATTTAATAGATGGTTAATACCTATACATTTAGTAGAATATATATTTATGTGTCCTAGATCTTTGCATATTATTACACCGAATATTGTTTTGATGTGTGAACATAAATCACTGCGAAGTACACCTGTACTATGCGATTTGTATGTCATAAGCGTAATCAGTATAACATTCATTCATTACTGTATCACATGTTAGGTCTATTATATTTTGTAGAGAATGAGTAGTGAGTACACGCGTCGAAATACTTGAAGTATAAAAATTATAGTTTATATATGTCGTGTTTGCATACCATCCGGGAACGTCCTCGGGGTTTTCACAGCTTCCACTGCCGTCGGAATCGCCGATCTTGAAAACTGTGCCGATCGGGCAACCGTATTCTCTGGGTGTGCCTTCCAAGCAGATGTAGTATTTTCTGCAGTCGTCTGGGTGAGCGTGTCTACTGAAAGATCCTACGGAAGCCAATACTTCACCAGCGGCCGGGCAGTTGAAACCGTTTGCTACTTCTACGGTAGACCACAAAATAATAATCATAAGTACGCCGTAATTCAAATCGATGTCCGCGTTATTGTGTATTTATAATTCAAGTATGTTTGACCAAAATACTACCTGTATAAAATTATTTTATGAAATATACTAACCTTCAACTTTGCATTCAGGTACTTGGTCGGCCCACATGCACACTCTGGATTCGCGATCGTAAGCTAGACCCGGAGAACATTGATATCTGCTGGCTTCACCTCCCCAACAGTTCCAGAAGGTATCACACTTGACGTCATCAGGGAAGATTCCGTATAATCTAGGACAGTGAGGCGTGCTGATGGCAGGTTCTGCAGTGGATAAATTATTCAAATTATTTTCACGATACGACATAATATCATTTAATTATTATTACAGATATAATATGTTTAATTATTGTACGATAGGGTAAAGTTAGCACCGACGATGATTTTAATTTAAGAAGCAAAAAATATACAGTATACACGTTAGGTCACCTAACGAGGAGTGAAAAATATAAAACAATAAGAGTCGTAATAACACAATGAAAACCCCAAGGAAGAAGACTTTGAGCCATACCGAGGAAAATACGGATTGTAGAAGGCTTAAGAAGTTTAGAATCGAAAAATATGTAGAGACAGGTTTCAAAGTGCAATTATACTCTTCGTGATAGTATAGTTATGCCCGAAAGAAGTAAAGAAGATATGTATCAAAGGTTTTACACGCGACGGGCGGTCGCAGCAAATTTTATGGAAATCGACGTTTAAAGTTATTATATAATATTGTTGACTGAGTCTTACCCAATTGTGATCTAGCGCCGCAGTCAACGTTGTGTAAGTAATCACAGTTCTCTTTCAGGTACTTGGGGTCGGTGTCGTCGAACGCCAGACCATTACCGCAAGTCTTTAGCTCGGCCACGTTGTTGTCGCACTTCCAGTACTTGTCGCACGAAGAGCTGTGTGGGTAGAACCCGTAGTCGTCCGGGCACTTGAACTCTTCCCTCTGGCCGTGAACTGTGAATATACATACGAAAAGTACATTATTATTTATTACATATAGTATTACATAGGCACGACAATGACGGTGGTCGATGACGATGACGACAAATTATAATGTTAATAAACATACCGCGGCGCTCGTTAGGTATACTATTACTATTATTATTATATAGTTGTTTCCCAGGACCTTGGGGCGTGCCCCATTGTGTCCGGTCGTCTTATGCAATGCGTCGCTAAGACGGCGGAGGTATTCAAAACGTGGTAGTCGACAACGACGACGACGACGATGACGTTATGTAATTATAATATTTTTGTGCTCACAAACACATGCACACTCGAGTTATTAGAATTTAGAATACACGTATTGTATTTAATAATGATGATAATAGTAATAAATAATAATAATATCACATGCGTTGTGGTCGGACCACTGCAGCGTGTCGCGGCGCACAACACCTATACAGAAAACGCGTATACAATAATATTGTAATCGCCTCCGGAGCCATGGGATTCTATATCGCGCGATGACCTTTAGATGGGTATGATCGCAAGTATGATTCTGCAGCTTTTTTTTTCATCTCGTTTCTCTTCGTCATATTATTATCTATGTCTCGTTGTTATACATTACTTTACGCGTCCGTCGGCATGTGTGCACACAATTGGTATACGAAAACAATTGTCACTTTACCCTCCCCGGGCCAGCCCGCCCACGAGTTTGTACGCGTAACGCGTCCGCACATTATATTGCGACGGATGTGTTGTATACCTACGTAAGTAAGTACAATTAATATATTATGTATAGATGATTTTTTTTTTTTATGGTGTCCGCGTAGCGGTAGATATAGTTATTCTGTAACCGTAGGCGATTACGAAACACCGGGAATGGAACTCGCCCCGGGTTTCTGGGTCAAAAATGACGATGATAATAATTATGACACACGACGTATATAGATAATAATAATAATAATAATGTATTAATACGTGCGTGCTATATAATAATAATACATAATATACGTAGTTGTATCCAGTTTTGACTATATACGTAGGTACGACCGGCGGCGGCGACAGTGGTCATTCTTGTGGGTCACACACGCGATGTCCCGCCGGCGCATCAAATGAAGATTGCAGCCGGTTTTCGCTGAACAGACGAATTCATATTTTTTATTTCCACACTGCAGCTCGTTATTTTATAATCTCATTATAGGTCGCCCGTGTTACGCGCGAAAACGAAGAAGGACAATTTATTTGTAATAAAAAAAAACGGATCTACAACGACGATAGTATGCGTATTAACACTATTAATTCTCCTCTCTCTCTCTCTCACTCTCACTCAATATATATAAATATATAATATTATAATATATTCAATGCATTGTAATGTGTCTCGCCCGCGAGTGTCGTAACCATGTGCGTTTATGGATCTCCGACTGTATCGATTGTTGCGTAAACGTATAAACTATACGTAAGTACAAGACCCTTGCCATCACCCACCCCCTCCCACACACACACACACACACATACACACACATAAGCTTCACAAGTATTGTGCTCCGTTGAATATTATTAAATCGTAATATAGTTACGAATTTACGATGAATGCGTCGAGTGCGAGTATATTACCGATTCGTGTGACCGATCGACAATATAATACATAATACGATATTTTATGAATTTAATATAGGTAATATATTGTTATATCATATTACGATACGACCGCGGACGGACGGTTGCAGGAAGACGAAAACCGGACTGTGGCTAGACCAAGCCCAAGCAAATACGGCGGCGGCGTCGTCGTCGTCAATAGAAAGCGAACTCGTTTTTATGGTCCTAGGCAATGGGTGCGAATATGTAGTAATAATAATAATAATAATATCAAACGCACGCGCGCGCTGCATAATCTCGTTACATACGACATTCTTTAGCAGAGAAAACGGAATTATATTATTATTATCATTATCATTATTATATCACACGGCCAGTATGTTATGTCGTATAATATATATTTATTTGTCTGCATAACACAATACACATACACACACACACAGGCACAACACACATATATAATATATAGGTTATCGCCCTTGTTAGGCGTGCCTAAAAGTTGACAAAAGTCTTTATCTCCGTATACGCGTTAATATATTATACACTTAGGTATTAGTATCTAATATATATATATATAATATACCATAATATGTATACGGAGTGCGAGCAGTATATGATAATTGCGTAATTGATAATGTATGCGCGTTTTCCGTGAGCTCACCGATCGTGTCGACTCGTTTTAATATTATTATTAGGTATCGGCAATCCATTATTCATTAGACGTTGTCACATTTTGGAGTGGCCGTCGTCGCTAGAGGTGAGTGGCCGCCCCGTCACAGCCGGTGTAAGCAGACGGATAGAGAGAAAGATATAGAAATAGAGAGAAAGAGAGAGAGAGAATTAATAAGAGAAAGAAAGAGAGAGAGAGAGACAGAGAAAAAGGGTTAGGCAGTGGCGTTACGTCTCCTCAGTCTTTAGGTTTTAAAACGTCTTGGCCATTACGCAACATACACAAACACGAACACACCTCCTAGTCTTCCGGTTCACGAAAATCGAGTAAAAAACGCGCGTTTATGCGTCTTAAACCTCTCCCTCTCACTGCCACCCCACGTCGTCCCTATCGCCTCAAGGTTACCTTACGAGCATTACACACAAACACCGTACAGTCTATACGGGCACTTTTTATAATATGTGGGCACTTTTAATTATTATAATATCCGTTGTCATTTTTCCACCTTTCCTGTCACACGCGTAAACATCTATCATAACAGGTACGTGCTCACTCTCGTATGACCGCACCCTGAGAGATACTTATCTGCTTACTCGTTTTGATGCGCCCATCTTTGATTACATTATCGTGTTATACTTTGCGCGCATAAGAAGCGAACGGCGTCTGACGACCTGTTGATATGACGCTCATCTATACAGGTGATGGACGCATGGACGCAAGATCGTAAGTGCGCTATCGTCGTGTAAAAATAAGCAGTAACAAATTATTTCTAAAAACTACCGCCTGAGATGGAAAAAAGCATGTGTACAGTACTACCCGCAGATCAGATTTTAGGGGTCATTGTGAATGACGAGGAGGAGCTTTTCCACTGCATGTCACTTTTTGTATTGGCAACTCGCGTTTATAATAATTTTTTTTTTGTTGAATTTGGTTTTCTTATCAAGTTTATATTATGACTTATATGAAATTAACTACTATTGCCAACAGTTTACAATTACAAGAAGGGATGCGAAATTTTGAATACATAGACGTATTCAAATAATAGTCCAACATTAGGAAAAATATTGTCAATATTTCTGTTAGGAAAGAAATGGAAATTTACCTACCGCACATACTTATCTCTCCAATTTCTGTGTGCTTATTTAATCAATTTTTTTCGTGTTTTGTATATTACACTATTGCTGACGGGATTGTTTGTGTGCATATTACGCGTATGTGGAAATACGTTTCGCACGGATAACAGAATTTTCTATGTATACCTATATACTACGATGCATAAGAGGAAGAAACTTGTCAAAATTTCACTTTTCCCACACCGTTGACAGACCACAAACATGATATAGGTTAGGTAGTTTGATTGAAATTTTTTTATTTTTCTTTCACTCTTTGTCGTTCCTACATGCGCCATATACACATTAATGATATACTACCTATATAAGCATGTTACTACGTATACATTATATTATTAATATGTCGAGCGTACTGCACAATGTTGCCTGCCTGAACAATATCATTATAATACGCCATAATTTGCGGTACGCGCGACATATATAAGTCACACCATTACCCACGACTATAATTTAATTTACGTACGCGCATTATATCGTATTATACCCATAATCGCGTATATTTTATTGCTTCACCGATCTCTTCGTGTCCGGGTTGCATGATGTAACACATCGCATACGCGTTGTATATATGTGTGTCGCGTTGTATGCTTACGGATTTTCGGTAATGCGAACACAACGAACTGCGTTACATAAACCGACGATAATATGTCGAAAAACACACAAACCAACCGTACCAATCGCATCTTATACAATATTATTAAGATACGCGCACCTATAGGAGTGGACTATAGGATGCGTTGTGGTGGTTTTTTTACTAGACCTCTCGTTACGGGCCGAAGAAAATACGTTGTACAAGACGATTGAGTAGCGGTAGGTGTGTCCAAACTCTCGGAACGTGAAGATTTTTTGTCAAAAAAAATTCACGTCTACGATGATACCCGCGATTTCCGAGACGATATAAAACGCTGACCAGTGTATTATTGTATTGTGGAGTATGCAAAGACATTGCAGCACATTATACGATTATTCGCTGCACAATGGTATATTTCAATATAATATTATCTACCGGCGCGCAGTTGTTACCTTGGTATGCGGCGATGAGCAAGACGGAAGCGAGTAGATAGATCTTCATCTTGACGAGGACCGCGTTCAATAAAATTTAACAGTGGTAATGGTGTATGAGATACGGCGACGTCTAAATCACTCGGAAAAAAAAATAATACAATGACAGTAGTAGAGTAATATTATGAAATGGTAAAATCAAATTCACTTTCGCGAGCGGTAACGCGATGATCGGCACTGGTGAGCGACCAGTGCTCGCCTCTTGTTTTATATGCACGTCCTACCTGACGCGACCTCAGCCCCACTTGAGTATTCCAGTCGTGTGAGATTCGAAATCCAAAAAGAAAAAAAAAATAATAATAAGAAGAAACAACGTACGCTCATACGCGCAAGCGCACGCACACACTCGTTCATATATGCATTCACACACACATACACACACACACACACAAATACACGCACGCACGTATTGTTATACGTGATTTTTTATAAATCTGGACTACGCCCAGCGGGACCGCCGCTGCAGAGCTTTACATCGGTGCATTGTACCGCCTATACACGTTTTTTACGGATTATTATGGCGAGAAAAAAAAAAGAAAAAGAAAAAGAAACAATAACAAATATAGTAAAGCGCACACGATACGATTTAATGCATTTCATTGTTGCATGTTATGTGTGTAATGTCGTCGCTGCTGTACAGTCGTATATGGGGTGTTAAGCAGGGCGTTTACGCTGTTTGCGTATACATTATGTGTTATAATAGTCGTCGACGTCTCGTCCTTGACGGTCAATTGTACGACTTACTCCTTTTTTTTTTTTTTTCTTGTACATTTCAAATTTTTCGTCGCTTGCGACTGGGATCCTTCGTCGTCGTCCTCGGGAATCGCGCGCGCGCCGGAAGAATTTTTATTTTAAGTACATATATCGCGCGGTTGACCTGAAAACGGTCACATACGTCTATATAATAATACATTATATTTATATAGGTATAGTATTCTTTTTTTATTGTAAAATCGTATATTACACAAATTCGTCGTCTTTGTCGTCCGAGAGTACGTTAAATATACTATTATATTAGGCATTACATTCGTATTACGCACAAGGCTGAACGACGGATATCATGTATTATATTATGATGTACATCCCATCGTTGGGCGGCGAACGGGTCCTTGGTTTTCCCACGCGTATGATATAGTGTTCAATTTAATATTGTATTGTACTATGTCTGAAAAACTGTTCGAAAAATAGGACAAGTTTCTATATAATATATATATACGCGATGTCCTCCGGAAGATTTTTACGTCGCCGCTTCAATTTTACAAAGTTCCTCTCTTTTCTCCCGTCGTTGTTTCGCGCACTCAGACAACAATATAATAATATATATTATTAAATTCCCTCGGCTTTTACCTGCATCCTTTCTACCAACGTCAAATTTTCGTCATGTCCTCGTACCGTGTACATTACAATGTGTTAATCGTATTGCGTTGAATAAGTCATCACAATTCCCTATTTATGTATTATGTACTGAATTATGCAAACGTGTATATATTTAATTATTTTATACCATAACCATGTACCTATTTATTTATAAAAATAAATTTATCAAGAATTAAATACCAATTATTTAGAACACTGGTTAACAGATTTCAGTATTACAGTACGTGCGATTAAGTCGAATAAAATAAAAAATAAAAATTTTATTATTCGATTAAACTTTAAAATTCAAATTAAGCATAATTTTCTGTGACTTTCAATAAAAATTTGAGAATTTATACTTCGAGTTCCCATGAGAACAAAAAAAAAAGTCATCTAGTACCTATAGGTATAATATATATATATATATTTACAAACTATTTACTCCTTGTAAACATTTAGCAAATAACAAATAGATTTAATATAAAAACCTAGAATTTACTCTTTACGAATTATGGATTAATTTATTCTTACTTGTTCATCATGAAAATTTCTCATGTACCATGAAATAGATTTCAACGATGTTCATTTTATTTGAAAGAGGAAGATTTTATAAAAGTCATTAGTGGACTTCAAAATGATTAACAACAGTTTTTCTTTTTTAACTTTATTTTTAAAAGTTGTAACAAAATATGAGTAAATAATCACAAATATAGTATATTTTGGGAGTGGTTTGAAGTTAATTAAAAAGGTCCGAGTCTAATGAAGCATGAATAAGATTTTCTTCTTTCAAATAAACTTTAAATGATAAAAGAAAGACTTTTTTACGAGGCGTGATCGTTTTTTTTGTTAAGTAATTTTTGACAGTTCAATGGTTTGATTAGATTTTTTATATTCGATTTGTTGTATAACCGTTGCACTTAAAATTAACTTAAAATTATTCGAATATTTGTACCTTAATAAAACTTTTCATTTAGAATATTTTAGGACTTGCAATTGTAGGAGTGCTTCCACGAAATTCACCCAATAATTTTGTGATTAATGGAATCGTGAAAAAACAGTAAAATAAAAAAAAGTGGGTTCTACACTCTACTGTAAATTAGGTGTCCAATGGGTCATTGTTATGTGTGTGAATATAATGATGATCATAATATATTGTACACGAAAAACGTTTCTGAACAGAAACGTAGTTAGCCTACATAACCAAGTATATTTCATGATATGTCTTTTTTGATTAAGCTATTAGTAGTTTATTTTAGTTTTAATATTACGGTAGGTAAGTAGGTTGATTTACATTTATTATATTAAACATGTTCAATGATTTAAATAATATTTATTTTTACTTTATTACTTATATCAATTTATATAATTCAAAATTTAATAATATTTATCAGTTATTTATCATTTAATTAAGTAATCTCATCTGAATTTGAACTTAAAAAGTTTATAAAAAATAATTTTCTTTATAAATTTATTAGATTTTATGGTTATAGCATCAAATACTTAATAAGAATTTTGTATTCAATTTTCAAAATTTATATAAAAAAACAGTTCTTATGAATTTTTTACTACATAATTGTTTGCAGTTTTTTGTGATTTTAATGAATTTCATTAAAATACCTATGTCTACAACATAAAACTGTAAATGTTTATATGTTTAATATATTTTTATAGATGAAATAATACATCTTATGTAAAATCTTGCATTAAATTTTCAAAAATTGTAAACCACTATAAATAATTTTTTATTGACATTTACAGAAAAAAAAAACTGACCAAATTTATCGTGGCTATAAATAACACAAAAATAATTATAGAAATAATTGTTTTATAAGTAAATATCGAATATTGTAAACATTTGAACTTGAAATGCTCATAAAAATTAATTTGGTTTTCCGGGGGACTTGTTTTTTTTTCATACATAGGTTGAAAATCTGATAAAGAACCTTGTAATTAATTTTTGAATCTTAGGTATAAAAACAACATTTTTTATGAATGTCTAACTACAATATAATTTACTTGTTTTTCTAATTTTTCTCAAAAAAGTATTTTAAAAGCTTAAATATTATGGCTTTAAATTTTTTATATTTTTTGATTGAGCTTTTTATTACATTACCTAGTATTTCTATCATGCTGAACATAATCAACATTTATAAAAAAAATTTAAAATTTCTTAAAATAGTAAATATTTCAAAAATAGTTTAAATATTTGGAAATTTTATAGAAAATAGAAAGTTATAATATAAACATTTTATGAAAATTTCAAGTATCTACGGTTATTCGTTTTCGAGTTGCATCATAAAAACAAAATCGATTTTGTCGAAAATCAAATTTGTGTAAACGTTTGGGAGGAATAAAAAAAAAAAAAAATCTAATTCAGCCAAAAAGAAAAATATCGTGACTAAGTATTCATATACCTAATCAATTGAATAATGGTAAAATAACTGTAGTAGTATTTTTAATAAGTGTAAGTCATAATATTAGAACATTCTTTTGATATAATATATTACTATTAAAATATAATTGCATACTTTTTGTCATTTGTATTCATTTACTGTGTACTTTTAATAATTATTAACAATAATGTATTATATGGTCGGAAAACTCATAGAAAATCAATTAATATTGCTAGATACGGTGAGGGGGTCATACCCCCTCATGAATTTTTTTCAAGATAGGCACACCACATTGATATTTGTGTACTTATTTAACACTACTATAGTTTTTTAGAAGTAACACGAAAAAAATACGAATCCCCGCATCTTCACGTTAATTGTGTATAATAATTTATAGACATTATTACAAAAATGAGCCATTGGTCAAATATCGTTTTATCTCTGGGCATTTTTACGCATATCAGCGAAGTCGTGTAATGTATAAACATATGAATTGTAAGTGAATATTTTAATAACATGTAATTATTTGTTTCCACGAGTAGTTACATACTATTTTATATTTTTATACATAAGTATCACATTTGATGGCATTGTACTAACACATCGCTTATGAATTATATATGATATACAAAAAAATGTTGTTACGGAGTAATGTGTATAAAAATATCATCCCTCCTACCCACAAACATGACCAAATTACGCCACCGTGGCTATATGACTATTATGTCGCGTTACGCGTGTGCGTATATAATAATAATATTATTATTATTGTCGTACGGATTTTCGTCGCCCGCAGAGGTGTTGTGTAGCCAGGCGCAAGGTAATAATAACCGTGTGTGTGTTTGCGTTTAACCACGCGGGTGAAAGCAGGACCAGTGAAAGTGATCGATATACGTAGGTATATCGAGAGCACGCAGCCGCCCGTAATTTTTGTACGCATTTGAATTTTTCTGATCGCGATATCGTGTCGAAGTCGGATTACAGGACGTGTATACAGTGTGATTCTCCAAGCATATAATCATCCCTATTCTTTCTTAAAATAATGAATTTATTCGAATTCTGATTTTTAAAATTTTTAAGCGTACTTACCAACAAAAACAACATATTTTAAAATTATTTTCAAAAATTTGCATGTACCCAATTCAAAATTTAAGCGAGTTGCTAGTTTTCTTAGTAATCATAATGTTTATATGAAGAATATAGTCCTAAAATTGGCTTCACAGAAATAATATAAAATATATTATTTGATATTAGATCTATATAGTATTTATAATACTTGGACCGTTTTTATAATTTTCAAATAGATATTGTTAGATTAATAGAAATTACAAGTATTTTCAAACCAACGTAGCCCCCATCACAGGTATCATCCAAACCCACATTATCATGGACCTATTACCCTTAGTACAAAAAAAGTTAACCCTGTACAAACAGACACGCGCTTGTTGCGGTGTACATATAATAATAATATGCACCCAAAGTTCAGGTATACGCGTACACTCACACACACACACACACATATTTGTAAATATTTATCTCGTTATAATGTCTGCGTTGTTTATATAGCGTGTTATTGCACTGCAAAGTAAAACGATTTTCGTGTGCACTTGCGTGAAATGCATCCGATTACTATTCTGCTGCCCGACGACCGCAGTGCAGCGGTGTGGACCGGCCGACTACGTGTGCGTGCGCTCTTTGGAAGGTCATTAACTACGGTATACACCTGGACGCACACAAACACTACACTGCACACGTGTGTGCTGAGCATGTTAACGTTATGGTTTCTTCTCTCTACATAATAATAAGTACATCGTAAACGTGCGTACAAATAATAAAATACGACCGCCATACGAGTAGGTGTATAGTAAATAACAATTTAACAGCGTACGAAGAGGGTTCGAAAAGTTATTATTATTGTTTTTTTTTTTTTTTTTTTTAACGCGTAGAAACTTTCTACGATCGAGCGCGACGTCGATCAATCATTCGAGCAGATAACACTATTATACCGCCAAATATATCGCCACGCGTATCCTCGGCCGCGCGAGTTATAATTGACCGAAATATGATATTATGTACTAGGTACCTAGCAAGTAATAAAGTAATATCGATTGATCGATCATTTTTCGTATATAATATACTCTAATTTTATTACCTATACCTACCGATATACAAATGTTGTGTAACGTCGTACCAGGCGTGAATCATACATAATAATACTTATTTACCGCAAGGACAATCCAAATCGTTACCTATGATTATTATTATATATTTACATACATTATATTATGGCCATTTAAGTCGTCTAGTAATTACGTCCGCGTGTTATATATTTTCGCTCTTCCGCTTAAAAGTTTATAACATATTTATTTTAGAGACGCGGAATAACAACACGAGATAATGAAGCGTTTTCGCGTATTATACAGGACTTGGCAGAGACGTCCTTGATGGACGGTTGCAGGTGCAGTATTATATTATAAATATATAGGTGTACAATAAACTATATACGGATTTGTTTCAGTCGATACGTCATAACGAGTTGTTGATAGGAAATGTCAAAAAACACGAATTCAGCTTATATCGAGTAAACAAATAATGGCTAGCCTTCCGGCAAATGGGGTAATAGGTAATACTTGATAATATTATAAATTATAATAGTACACTTAAAGTACGTTTTCAGTGTTACTCAGCTTTACGTCCTGTACTCAATCAATACTCATATATGAGTATAGTGGATATAAGTATAATACAGGATACCAATCACACTCACCCCCGTTTTACCTTTACTACAATGCATTTATTCACATTCTGATTTTTGAAATTTATAAGTATACCTACCTCCTAAATGACTACATTTTCAAATTCTTGATTTTTTTTTTTTTTTTGTATCATTTAAGGAGTACACTATGGCAAATACAAAACAATTTTTTTCAAATAGAAATCTGCGATCTTTCTAATTTTAACGAAGGAGTAGTTTTTGAGTTATTAAAATGTTTGTAATATTACAGCTGTGTACTCATCATTACTTTGTAGCATAACAATTCCTAATTATCTTTTTACAAAAATATAAAATAGGTGATAATAGGGATATTAATTTAATCTTGTTAAATACTCAAATATGAACTATCAAATGGTAATATCGATTAATTGTTATAGTTTTAAAATCATTACAGTGGCTGTATGAGGTGCTCATAGCTTCTAATTAAAATGCTTGGAGCAAAAATCAGATAAATCCGGATTTAAAATTATTCATTTTAAAACTTAAGGTACTGTTTTGTTACTATTATTATAAGTATTTAAATCTAAATTTAATTAAATTACTATTTAGTAACCCTTGAAAAATAATATGTTAAACACAAAAACCATATAAATATATTTATAGGGTCTATAACTTTGAGCTACTTTTATCTTAAGATAAAAAAAAGAATCAAGTTTTAAGTCCTCAATATTATTTATCATCATGTAGTAATTGAAAATTTTAGTAAAATTATTATAATTTTAGAATTAATTAATTATAAAAATAAATCATGCTTTATTAGTCCTGTACATTTTAAAAAGTGGATTTATTTGGCTTTAGTTATAAACTATTCAATTCTATTGCCATGAATCCTTAATACAAATTTTTGGACGCAACAAGATTGCAAACAAATGTCACTTATCAAAAAAATTGTTTTTTAGCCAAAAAACGAACGATTGCGAACGTTTTTATAGGCTACGTTGCTAATTTTATAATTTCTGAATATGTTTAATTTTGTTTGGGAATTCAATTCAAATTTTTTTTTAAATAAAAACTATTTGATATTAATAATACAATGTTACATTATAGCTACGTTACAAACTAAAATAAAATATTGAATAATTAAAATAATTTCGGAGTATAAATATTAATAACACTGTTACATAATGTATATAAACTGAAAAAAATAAAAATAAAAGTTTTTAAAATGTTTTTCTACATATTTTTTTTTTTTTTTTAATTTTTTCGTAGTTAGGAGTTTCCAGTTTTTTGTAAATATAAAATTAGATCCTTGTGAATTTTATAAATTATAATCATTATAGTTTTTTAATGTTGATTCAATTTTAGATTTATATTTTTTGGCCATAGGGTTATCTAAATTGTTTTGATAGCGTAATAGCAAAAAATCCTTATACCTACTATTTAATTATTTAAAAATTTGTAATTGACTAACATTTAATCTGGCAACACCACACGATTAAAGGCAAGTTAAAACGTTCGCAATCGTGTTACGGGAAAAAGTTCGTTTGTAATTGTTTCATTCACAATTGTATATCGCCCAGAATTTCAAAGTTATGTAATTCCAAAACTTTTCATTAAATTATTTTTATATAGATACATCAAAACGTCGAAAAAAATCTATCTGATAACTGCTTAACAATACATAATGTGAAGAAAGGATTGCCTTTATTTGGAAAAAAGAATTATTTGTATCACTACAGGAAATTCCATAATGGTATAAAAAATGTAAGTGTTTAAAAATTTGGTACTTAAAATAAATATATTTTAAAATTCTAAACATTCAGAGTTTGAATAAATAATGCAAATTTTTAAAGGATAGTATGAGTAATCCAGCTATATATATATATATATATATGTTATATAAATATTTGAATACCTATATGATATCACGTAATAATATAAACGTATAGAATATTTTGTATTCGCAATAATAATTATTACTTCCGTAGAAAAAAGTGATCCACCTGACCCGCTGCGTTATTCGCATAAACTGCTGTACAATGAAGTTGTCGAACATACTGACGAAAATAACGGTAAAAAACATGATATCGTAATTAAAGACACATCTATCTATTAAACTTTTATGATAAGCTCATTAAGTATTACCGTGGCATAGGTATTATAACTAATAACTCAATAAAAAAAATTCGCCATACGCTGCACATATCTACCGCTGCACCGTAGATTGCAACAACACGTCGTAGGCTCGTAGCCATTGACGATTGTCCAACGTCACGAATATTATAGTGCATTCTATAATGTACTATATTATGTATGGTAGGTACATGTTATGTGATACATTATATGATAGGTTAAATCTTGTTTAGCGCATTTTAACATTAAAAAAAAAAAAATTGTTTCTGATAATCGAAAAGGACGAAAATGCATCCTCCAACGCACACCGCCGCGACGATTATCCATCTGCGTTATTTCTTATTCCTTTACAATATATTGTCGTCATCGGGATATAATAAAGTATTTCAACTAAAGGTATTTAGCAAGACCGGTTTTATCGGTTTATTTTTTGAATTGAACAACTATTTAGAAATGCGGTAGCGTTTCGAGCCAAGTAAAAAAAAAAAAATAATATCAGTATATTAAATAAATAATCAATTTAATATTTATACAGGAAGTATATTTTGTTACTAATTAATTCGAATAAATATGCGCGTATATATATGTCTATATACAAAACGATCATTCGTTCGGGAGTTCCTTACACAGTTTACACTTTACACCCATGCATATACAGCGCGATTCTTTTATGCTGTATCATATAACGCTTGTTATTTCAAAAAATAATCGAAAGTTTTTCAAAATTATTTATTTTTTATAATTTGATCTAATTACAACAAATCAACACGTTTGACTATTTTAAATGTTGTTGTTTTTTTTTCAATTTTATTTTTTTAAAAGACTAAGTAGGTAATAAAAAAGGATTTTTTTTTTTTTGAATATTGCGATAAAATTAATTAGAATTCTTGTATGAGTGGAGTTAAGCAGTATAGAGTTAATTCAAAAAATTTTGATTTACTATTCCACTCAAGATGTTTTAAGCTTATTTTTCTACCCATATATTTTGGCATAGGCTCATTCAGCAAAATGTTTATGGATCATTAATATCAAATAAATTTATGCTACTAAAATGTATGAAAGAATTTAATATCTAGACATTGTAGCTCGAAGACTTAAAAAAAACACTCGTCCGATTTTAACAGAAGTTTCAGAGATTGTTTTTAAAGATATTAGAAAAGTTTAAAAATAAGTTTGAATCACGTCCAAAATGAACAAAGTGCTATACAATGTATTTTATCTATCTAAGATGGATTGTCAATCTTGGTCGAATTAATTCATTGTAAAGCGAGTTAAGGTAAAGACACACTATTCATTTCCCACATATTAACATTTTTTACATGTTACGTCTTAATAAATCAATCATTTTTGATTGCGTGTTATCGTTTTTATTTTTCTTCATTGATTTATCTTTGCCGAAGCCGATTTTTCCGTGAACTGAGATAAATTGAAATAAAAATACACTTATATAGCGTAATATTTTAAATATTTTAAAATTTTTCGATTTTCCCGGGTTAAATTGGGATATACAGCTAGTTTATAAGTAATACTATAATAGTACCATTCATATATGTGTTTGCTTTCATACCACTCGCAATAAGAGTAATGATAAATATACATTATTTTTAAATTTCTACTTATAAACCAACAATGCAATACAAAAACAATATTTTCATAATATTTTATTATAATTTGTTAAGGTAGTTAGTAAAACCAAAAAACAAAAGATGTAAAATGTATCATTTCAAAGTTCAATCCGGAGGGTAATTCATCACTCTTGCAAACATGGGTTTGATCCTATTTATCTAAACTTTAAATACTTAAAAGTTATTAAGTAATTACTCGTTTGAAATTCGATTTTTATACATCAAAATATTCTGAAATAAATTTTGTTTTGGAATTGAGAAATAAAAAAGGAAGTTATTACTCAAAAAAGTAAAATACTTAACAATTGTAAAAATTATAATTTTTAATGACATAAAATAACGTAAAATTAATTTTTCAAATAAATTTAAAAAATATTTGAGAGATTTGAAATATTTCACTCAAATTTCATCAATTATCTTACTTAAAAATGTTGAAGTGCATAGATTTACATTAATGTACCTCAATATAGATTAAAATTAACTACATTACAAAGAACATAAAATACAGAGATGTAATCCTTAAGTTAAATATTTCGTTGTGTTCAATGCAATGTCACACTAAAGATGAGATTTTGATCGGTCAGTAACACGAATGTTTTTAAATCGTACATTTTGATACGTTAAAAAAATCATCTCGAGTATACGAGTACGTATACTTTTACGTGATTTTGGACGCGGTGTCTATTGTTAACTTCGAGATTGCACCCATAATATGGGTGTACAAGATTTGCATATGCTGCTCACTGCTTCTACACTACACATGTTTTGTACCTATACATATATGCACATACACGTATAATATAATATATATTATCTGAGTTGCAAACATCATCACACATATCCACCAGGTTCCAAGTAGCATAGGTACTACTGCACTCTCGTACTTTTCGAACTATTATGTAAATGTGTATAATTATGTTATTCTATTTGTCGTTAATCATATACGGAGGTATAGTTATAGCTCTGTATAATAGTATTATATATAACCTCTCACTTTAAACGAATTTGTTAATACCCGCGGCGTGCACAAATCGTTTTACGACTCCGGGCCACGGAGTTCCTATATAACCATGTGTCTATGTGAATATAACATTATCACATAAACTATGTGTAAATTATGTACATATAGGTATATAGCGATGACTGTGTTGCGTGTTTGCAGTAACGTTTTTGACCTTAGAGACACGGATGAGAAGTGTACACGTAATCTTCATCGATGGTATGCGGCATATTGAGCAGCGGAAAACGAATCGGATGGATAATAAGGAGCAATTAATAATTAATGGAGGTTTTTTAGGGAAAACAGTGCGTGATCGGAGTTCGGAAAACGCCAAATTATTGACTAGCAAGCTCTTATTTTTTATACGAATGTGATAATAAGAAAGAACGAATCGAGTAAAATATCTTTGTACAGTTGAATATAATATACAACAAAAAATTTATCTATGATGATAAATAATTGCAAGAGACGCGAGTGACACAAAGATTATAAGTAACTCATCGTTAATACCTCATTTAAATATTTATTTATTAGTATTGTGATTCCATTTACGTTTTACCCAACGAAGAGGGTTATCAGCATTTTTTTGTTAAAGAGTTAATTTTGATAATTAATTAATTATGAAAGTCTTTTTAATGGTGCTTAGAAAGATGACAGTCAACACTCAACATATTTTGTAGATCTTCATGTAATGTTGTTAGTTAAATACTACGGGATGGACTCAAGGAAAACTTGTGAATTGTTAGGATTGTTTGATAGTTTTGCAAGACCTCAAGTTTGTATACTATATAATTAAATTGATAGAATCACTAAAATGTACAAAAGTAGTTTGATTCTGGGATAAGATTTAATTTTGACTTTCAAGAAGACAAAAAATATTTGAATTTTCAAATAGGCTCTATTTTTCTTTTGGATTAAAGTTGACATTTCCAGGTTGACTTTTTGTCCAGTATTATTTCAAGATATTTAATTTCGTTTTGTTTTGAAATACTTATGAAACTATGTATTAATAATAATTAATGAATATTTGGTTATTGCACATTTGTGTGTACGAGCAAGTAACTAGCAAGCTGCATGTATGTGATATACATTTGTCATAAATTATAAACCTCCGACGATTAAATCTACATAAATTATTTTTTAAATTCACTCTGTGACCCGAACAAAATTCGCCCTATATCAATATTCCATGTATTATTTACTGCGATATGTCACTACGAAACAATGAAAAGAATAATGAACGTATAATTATATACACGCGTGCTTTATATTATTTATAAATTTATAACTACTAGGTATTATATATATTAAATAGGTCGTACTGACATATTTTTGTGTTAATGGTTTTTGTTATATTTATTAGTATTATTATTTATTTTATTATTTTATTGTGTTGTAATAAGAATCATGCTTAAAACGGTATTTTACTTACGTTATTATGTGCATTGTTATTTATTTTAATTTTTCATGCACTCCTTTTTAGGGTGTATTGTACGATAGAATATTAATACGTTATTATTTTGTATATGACATAAATGTTATTAAAATGATATAGACTAAAGTATAATCGTATTTAAAAGTTACATTGTAACTATTAAAATCAAATGTAGTACAAACAGAAAATTAATTTTTAAAACAAATGGAAAATGTCGGATCTCGATTTGGTTGAACTACTCGTGTGGGTAAAAAAAAACCTATTATTGCTAATGAATCATTTTCACTACTTTTTTTATTCAAACACTTTGTAATTACTTATTAGTTATTTTGAGTTTTCAGTATTTTCACTTACGTTTCCCTAGGTTATTGCGGTTTCCTGTATAGCCTTAACCAAACTTATGTGTAGGATGCATGATACCGCAGTCTATACGCCACTGAATTGAAAATTTTAGAAACGACAATTTTTTCATTGCATTTGAATGTACAATTAAAATAAAAATAGTTTAATCGTTCTAGGTGATTTAAAAATGTATCCTTATTTAAGCATTTATACTTTGTCTGTTTACAAA